TTTTTTTTTTTTTTTTTTTTTTTTTTTTTTTTTTTGCGTGAGAAAACTCCCAGGCTCCCCGCCCCTTCCCCCTTTTCTGCAGACTCACACGCTATTCTTAAATTTCTAGGTTAAGTTTTGCACATTTTACAAGCCACTCCTTCATCTTTACCACCATTATACACATAAGTCCTCATACTTCCACCTTATTGCATACACATCCTCAAGGAATTAAATAATAAGAACAATAATAAAAATTCTGGGTATTACAGTTTAATACTTTAATTCCAGAACATAAAGTCTAGTAGCAAAAAAATGTCACCTTCAATAATTTTTTACATGGCAGGCGTAACAGACTTAGGTGTAGGTAAAGAGAAGGGGTTGCTGAGTTCTTATTGCATAGCTCATGAGTTGCATCTCTATGGTAATAAAAATAGCCGCGAAAATAACAGTTTAGTTAAAGAGAAAAGTTGAAGTGATTAACTTGATCTATTTTGTTGCAATACAAGATACATTCATAACATATGAAATGGTCTTCCATACAGCGGTGATATGGTCTGGTATCGCCCTCATATAAGCAAGGACAATAGCCAATTGGCTTTTATTTACCTTTAGTAATGAAACTTCTCATACTGGTTCATCCATAGAGATTTTGAGGGAGACGAGGAGATATGAGGACTTCAAGCGGAGTGGATTTGAGGTTGGTTATTCCGGGTTTTTCACTCATATCAACCAGTTCATTTGACGGAACTGCCACTTCAAATCCATGAAGGAAAGTAGCAAGTGTGAATTGCAGAAATTGAAGAGCAAAAGAGACTCCTGGACATATTCTTCTACCACTTCCAAATGGTATTAGTTCGAAACTCAGCCCCCTAACATCAACATCTTTGTGTGTTGTCAGAAATCTTTCGGGCTGAAACTCATCAGGATCTGGCCATACCCTGGCATCCCTTTGAATCTTGAAGCCATTAAAAAGCAGTTGTGTGCCTTTTGGAACATGGTAGCCCCCAACAATGCAGTCTTCCAGGGACTCATGAGGCAATAGCAATGGTGCTGGTGGGTATAAACGCAGCGTTTCCTTGATGATGGCTTGGAGGTAGGTCAGGTTCTTTACATCGGATTCATTAACCCGTCTCTCCCTACCAATGTTGGTGTCAAGTTCATGTTGAACCTTCTTCAATTTTTCAGGATGATTGAGGAGAAGAGAAAGCGCCCATGTTAGGGTAATTGTTGTGGTATCTGAGGCTGCCAAGACAAGAACCTGCAAATCGCAATAGATAACATTGATCAGGCAATCCAAAAATAAAAAAAATGTTGATGTTAAGTAATCGAACTTGAGTGGTAACTAATTAAGAAATTGTTTGTGAAATACATACCAAGCACATAGCTTTACTGACTGTATCAGAGTCAATTTCTGTAGGAAACTCTCCCCTATCGAGAATTGATAGCATCACGTCCATGAAGTCTTCCTCTCGTTTTTTGCTTCCAGTAGCTCTTTTCTTCTTATGCTCTTCTAACCATCCTTGAACAACAACGTCAAGCTCTCTTGATACCTTCTTCATTGCCTTTTCTTGTCCTCCAATATCCAACCATCTCAAAAATGGAAGGGAATCAGAAACGAAGAACTTCCCCAAGAATTTGTTCATTTCTCGCACTGTTGATTGCCATTGATTCTTCTCTTCATCCTTCTGCAAATACGCAACGAAAGGCTTCCCGATAATTATCTTGAAAATTACATTCAGGGTCAGGTCTTCGAACCATCTCTTCATCTCCATCGACGCATTATGGGAACTATCCTTGTTATTTTCCCATATGTGGTGTATTTCCTTTATCCATGCCTTCATCTCCGATTCTCGAACATGTTTGAACATCTCAAGCCGGTGGTTTGATAAAAGCTCGAGTGTGGCAATTTTACGTGCGTGGCGCCAATAGGACCCGTAAGGGCTGAAGGCAAACATGGCGTAATTATACCCCAAAAGCTCCCTGGAGATTGACTTCGGGCGTGTAGCGAACGCCTTATCATTTGTAGTTAGGCATTCTTTTGCTATTTCCGAATCGCTCACTACCAAAGCACGATGAACACCGAGTTTGATAGTGAAAACAGGACCATACTTGTCTGCCATTTTACCCAAGATTTTGTGAGGTGGTCTTGGCCCCCCTAACAAGGGGAGGTGGCCGATAATCGGCCATGCACCACCAGCTTGTGGTGGCGTTCTCTTCTTTTGAGCATTTCTTCGCCTTGAAAGGGCTAAGAAACTACAAATAAAAAGTAAAAAGGCCAAGATTCCGGTGGTCAGGGTTGTTGAAAATGAAAGACGGAAATCCATGCTGTTCTGTGTTGTTTGGACGGTTGATATATGTTTTGAGATGAAATTCACTCTGCTATTTATAACAACTGAGTGAGCAATTTTGTCAAGGAATGCAATTTTGTCAATGCACTTCATTTTTAAAAAGTGAAAAATCTCTTTGCCAGGAGAGCTTAAATCCAAAGTAGAGGTGCGAAGCTTCAAATTCCAAAGTGCAATTAAAAGTTGACTGGAGAAAAGTCCAACAAGCCTCATATATGCTGAATATTGTGTCGAGATTTAAGTTTAGAATTTCAGATATATTTGTCTTTGAATTTTAGTTTCTGCTATATGGATTCATACGGTAAACACCTTTTTGTTTTTTTTT